GGCCTCACGCTCCCCTCTGCTCTCATCCCCTTGTTCACGTCTGGGAGACAAGAGGAGGTCTTCCGAGCAAGCCTGTAGTTCCACAGCAACAGCAGCAACAACACCACCTGAGACATTTGAAATGTGGCAGCGTTTGTTTGCGCAAAGAACAATTCAGGAATCAGGCAACGCTCAGAATCAGCAAAGGTTTGGAGAGCTCCTGGCCACGAGGTGGGCAGTGAGCATTTGTGGACAGGAAATGGGAACAAAATACCAGAACAGCCCGTCTGGTGACAGCTCAGCATTTGCTCTAATTGCTCATGGTCTGATCACTCGGCGGCCTGGAATTGGCTGATTCGGGCTGCTCACGGTTGGCTGTTTCTCGTACCCCTAAGTTATGTTTTTAGTTCATTTCTTGCTAAGTTAGGTTGCATTTCATTTCCTAGGAACTCAGGTGCTGTGACAGCTCAGGCCAGTGGCCTCCTGCTTACTTAACTCAGCACCCCCACGCTGCATATGCTGCATTTTTCTTTGTGAATACGTATTTCATCTCCTTTTGGTCATGGACATGAGGCAAATCTGCCAATGATGCAGCTTTTCAAAACCTGAAAAACAAGTTGTATAAAAGCGGGGGAAACTCCCTTGGTTCCCCAGATCTGGGAGCCTGCAATGTCTTATCTCTGCCTCCCCGCCTTCCTGTCTGGGAAGTGTGATTTGTAGCTGTGCTGTCAGTTGGGGGCAATGGATGCCAAGAAGGGACAGTTGCTGAAGCGCTGTGCAGATATGCTCTGAAATCGTGGGCCCGGTCTGGGGTGCTTTTGAGCACTGAGGGCTGAGCTGGTCCCAGGGGAACAGATGCTAATTCTAGAATGTTCTGCTGCTCTCTGCTGCCCCCTGGGGGGAACATTCTGACACTGTTACTTCAGGGCAACTACAACAGGATAAGATTGGTCCTGGGAGCAGAACAAACTGGGGACTGGACATGAAGGAGACTTTTATTGGTTAGGTTCACATATGCAGAAAAACGCAAGAGTTGTAGAGACGCTATGGAAAAATCCATGCAGTCCGGCCTTTATCCGAAGCTTCAGCTCTCACCAGAGCATTCCCGCATTCCTGACCCTGTGAGCTGGCTTCAAGATTTCTGAATGTCTCAAATCATTCTCCTTAATAATAATAATATATAGTAATAATAATCATCATCTTGTCAATTCTTGGCTGAAATCAGGTCTTTCCTGTCTGTCAGATCTGTTAGTTTAGAAGTTCCCTTAAGAAGGTAGTAGGATGAGGCATGGCTGTTCCCTAGCGAATCCTTGTGCTCCCATTTCTAAAAAGAGGCGCAGTGTACTGGTCACGAATGTGGGTTCTGGAGCCAGGACTGCCCGGATTCAAGTCTCAGCTCCACCACTGAGAAGAGGGCGATGCCTGCCTTATTTAGTGAGGAAGTGAGATGGCCTAGGTGAAGCCCTTGCTCCCGGTCTATCACATAACCCAGTGAGTGTTTCCTGTTCAGGTATTTTCTGAGTCTCACAGTTCATTCACTGAGTTGTTCTAGACTCTTCTCCCGTCATGGCAGGGGCTGGTGCTTTTAGCATATCTCAGGTATGCTGCCTAAAGCAAAACCTGCTCTGCCTCCAGTGTGCTAGAACACTTCTCCCGCCACAGGAGACAACAGAAACATACACAAAAACTCTGTATCCCGAGATAGACCTGGCAGCTCTGACTCCCCACAACGAAACATGAGTATTTCTTGTAAACTTGGGCTCCCCAAACCAATTTTATCCACATTTTTGTTGTGATGATGATGTGTGGGGCTAATATAGCAGGATTTTTTTTTTTTTTTTTTTGATATGGGATATGGGATGCCGGCACTGCAGGCGGTAGCTTTACTCACTATGCCACAGAGCCAAACCCCTGCAGGAGTTTTGTGAATCTAACAGTCAAGTGGCTTCTTTCTCACCGTAACAGACTCATGTCAACTTTGGAAGCTGGATGATACTATGTGTCTTCCTTTTAAGTCCTTATTATAGTAATCTCTGCTTATCTGAAGTTTCACTTTCTGTGGCTTCAGTTATTTATACTCAATTGAAAATAATACATGGAAAATTCCAGAAGCAATTCCTAAGTTTTAAATTGTGCATTGATCCATGAAATCTTGGGCTGTCTTGCTCCATCCTCTTGGGATGTAAATCATCACACATACAGATTCATGTAAACACCAGCACAACCAGGACACAAGCTGTTCCACCACCCAAAGTAATTCCACGATGTGCCCACTCTACTTGTGGTCTCTCCCTAACCTAACCCTCCACAACAGCTGATATGCTCCTCATCACTGTCTTCATCTGTCATTTCAGGGATGTTACATAAATGAAATAACACGGTAAGTGAACTTTTGCGATGGACTTTCTCACTTGACACAATGCACTTGGGATCCACCCGAGCGTTAGCAGCAATGCTTCTTTTTGTTGCTGAGTCGTAGTCCATTGTTTGGTGTATTCCAGTTTACTTCATTCACCAGGTGAAGGACACTTGGGTTGCATCCAGTGTTTGGCAAATAAAGCTGTCATAAACACTTGCATACGTCTGTGTGAATGTAAGTTTTATTTTTCCATGTTTCTGGGTGATCATCTTATGGTATAAATTGTATTTTCTGGCCGGCGCAGCGGCTCACTAGGCTAATCCTCCGCCTAGCGGCGCCGGCACACCGGGTTCTAGTCCCGGTCGGGGCGCCGGATTCTGTCCAGGTTGCCCCTCTTCCAGGCCAGCTCTCTGCTGTGGCCCGGGAGTGCAGTGGAGGATGGCCCAAGTCCTTGGGCCCTGCACCCCATGGGAGACCAGGAGAAGTACCTGGCTCCTGCCATCGGATCAGCGCAGTGCGCCGGCCACAGCACGCTGGCCGTGGCGGCCATTGGAGGGTGAACCAACGGCAAAGGAAGACCTTTCTCTCTCTCTCTCTCACTGTCCACTCTGCCTGTCCAAAAAAAAAAAAAAAAAACAAAAACAAAAACCAAAACAAATTGTGTTTTCTGCTTATTGGATTGTCCTGGAGGAATGAGAAAAGAAGAGAGGTAACAATACACGAATGAGGCATTTAGGCCAAGTGAGGTCAGACGCTATTATGGCCTTTGGTGCCAATGATGATTTGACAGCACTTCAGATTGAGGCAGTTGGTAAGAGAATTCAGCTGCGCCCAAACGCAGGGTCGTGTGGATCTTCCAGACTCACAAGGTTGGTATGGCAGCATCAGTTCCACAGTCTCACATTGGAGAGAGATCTTGTTTCAGGCAGAAAAACATCATTCATTTCATTATATTGAAACAATTGGTAGATTTTTATAGGTTTTATGGTTTTGTTTTTATTTCATTTATCAGTTTGCTTTAATTTTATGATATGGACCAACACAGAATCAGCTTAAGTATTTAATCAAGCTGCCATATGTGTGATTTCATGGTGGGAGTGGTGATGAATTAAGTCAAAGCCCATGACTACCCTATATTAAAAGAAAAAAACTCTAAATAACTAAGGGTTCATTTTTGTACACATCAATATCGTTGGTGTATCGGCTCAAACAGAGGTAAACAATCAGAGGTGACTTGGGGCGCAGTGGGTTAAGCCCTGACCGTTGACGTTGGCATTGCATATTGGCATTGATTGAGTCCTGGCCTCTTCCCTTCTGACCTAGCTCCCTGCTAATGTGCCTGGGAAAGCAGTGGATCATGGCCCGAGTGTTTGGGCCCCTGCTACCCTCAAGGGAGACCCAGATGGAGTTTCAGTCTCCTGGCTTCAGTGTGGCCTAGCCCTGGCTGTTGTGGCCATTTGGGGAGCAAACCAGTGGACAGTGTGACAGGTGACTCAAAAGTTTAAACTGTCTACATGGTATAGCACACCCGAGTGGTTATAGACTACAGGTTACTTTATTTGGTTGTTTTAAAAACAGGTTCTTGGGGGCCGGCTCTGTGGTGTAGCGAGTAAGGCCGCCACCTGCAGTGCTGGCATCCCATATGGGTGAAGGTTCAAGTCCCGGTTGCTCCACTTCCAATCCAGCTCTCTGCTATGGCCTGGGAAAACAGTGGAGGATGGCACAAGTCCTTGAGCCCCTGCACCCACATGAGAGACCAGAAGAAGCTCCTGGCTCCTGCCTTTGGATGGGTACAGCTCCGGCCGTTGCGGCTAATTGAATGAACCAGTGGATGGAAGACCTCTCTCTCTCTCTCTTTCTGCCTCTCCTTTCTCTGTGTAACTCTGACTTTGAAATAAATAAATACATTTAAAAGAAAACAGGGCCTATTCTTCATAAAAATAAATGTTGGTTTGTAACTGACCCATCTCTGGCTTCTGCACCTCTGCTTGCTTGATAATGGCCAAGGCCACCAGATGATGGCTTCTCCTGTCTATTGGCTGTAGCCACAGGATAACACAGGTGGCGCCAGGGTCAGTGATGCCATTCCTGACCCTGACCGGGAACAATTGAATAATTGAATGGTTACATTTTCCAATAAGGTTACAAAGAAACTGGCTGATTGGCTAACCACTTCTCACTTCTGTATGCCTGCTTTCTGCTTGCACAAGCCCACACCTGTAATTAAATGACTGATTAAAAAGTAGGTTTTGCCTTAAAAAAACCCCACCACTGCAACTCGGGGCTGTCTTCTCCGGACTTGCCCTGCGAGAGGGCAGTCGCCAGCTGGCTAATAAAGACTCCAGATTTGACCTCCAAAGTCTCCCTGTGTTTTTAATCTGTGCGCCCCACAACAGACAGAAGATGTCTATTTGTCTCTCCCTCCGTGACTTTGACTTTCAAATAAATAAATTTTTAAAAAATGAAGGCGATGACACAAGCACGGGAAGTCTGCCCGAGCTGGTGTGGGGTCCAGGAGCCTGGGGTCACCCAGACACCCGCAGTCCTGGGCTCCTTGCTCTGTCTCCTAGGTCGCTGCGTCACAGACGTGAATGTGAATCACCTGGGGATGGTGCTTAGTACAGCGTGGGTGTTGGCAGGTGCTGGGGCGGGGCCACGCATCTCCATTCCCGCGGGTACCCGGGGGGCGGGGGCTGCTGCTTCGCAGACCACATTTCAGCAGCCATGGAGTGGTGTCTCCGTGGCTGTGGTTGGAGCGGGTTCCTCAGCACCTCCCGGGGTTTCTGACTGCGGATCTGAGTATGGAGACAGCAACTTCTTGATGAAAACGAGACCAGGAGTTGTGCGTGCACAGTCCCTGCCCTACAGTGGCATGAGGATTCCATGGAAACTGGCTTTTGAATTCAGTTTTGCTCCGAGACTAGTGATCTGCATTAAGGTCTTCTCAGGTGATGCTCGGCAGCCTTGTGCTCACCACTGACCCTCTGTGCTGTGTACTGTGTGTGTAGCCAGCGAGCCTTCCATACTGTGTTTCTGAATCCTGCCCAGCCGCGTCTCTAGTGGTGAGTACCCGTACAACCACTTGGTGTCTCACCTCCAGCACAGTAGTCAGAGATTATGTGAGGTGGCCAACATTTTGTTTATATGGGGCCTGTTTGTCACACAGGCCGTATAGCAGGTGATTTTGCCCAACTGTAGGCTGGAGTAAGTGTTCTGAGTGTGTTGAAGGTTGGCCAGGCTAGACTACGATGCTTGGTGGTTTGCGTGTAGTCTGGGCACTTTTCTGCTGGTTAGCAGAGCAACATGGACCGGTCAGCACAGGAAGGGATTTTTTTTTTGACAGGCAGAGTGGACAGTGAGAGAGAGAGAGAAAGGTCTTCCTTTTCCGTTGGTTCACTCCCCAATGGCCGCTGCAGCCGGCACACCGTGCTGATCCGACGGCAGGAGCCAGGTACTTCTCCTGGTCTCCCATGCGGGTGCAGGGCCCAAGCACTTGGGCCATCCTCCACTGCACTCCCTGGCCACAGCAGAGAGAGCTGGACTGGAAGAGGGGCAACCGGGACAGAATCCAGTGCCCCAACCAGGAGGATTAGTCTAGTGAGTCGTGGTGCCGGCGGGGACCTTTTTCACATTGGAAGCCTCACGATGCTCAGGGCAGCCAACCTCCTTAGAGAATACTAATTTATTTTAAAACGTAAGGTGGAAGATGTCATATATCCTATAGTTGCCCACAAATCCTCAAAGTTGATGGTGTGTGTATGTTAGAAAAAAATTTCCCTTTAATTTTTCCTGATTAGAGTGAAATTCTCAAACTTTTCCAGGCTGTCAACATATTTCAAGTGAAGTCTCCTTTGGGAAACAAAAGAAATCTACAACAAAAATTACTGGACGATTTCATAAATTCACTGTTTTTCCCCCTTCTCTTAAATGTTATTTTTCATGTCTTTTTATGCTCTTTATAGCAGGAGCTTGCCATAACTTTTTTTTTTTGGTAATAACATCATTGCTAGTTTATTTTTTTTTTCTGGCTAATTACCTCACTGAGGCAGGCTTACTGGCGGAGTTAAAAAGAAACATAATGGCTTACTAATCTTTTACTTCACGCAAGGTGACTACTGGGACTGGCTGGCAAAAAGTTTCTGCTAACTTTAAGAAAAACAGGTGTGGCCGGCGCCGTGGCTCACTAGGCTAATCCTCCGCCTGCGGCGCCGGCACACCGGGTTCTAGTCCCGGTCAGGGCACTGGATTCTGTCCCGGTTGCCCCTCTTCCAGGCCAGCTCTCTGCTGTGGCCCGGGAGTGCAGTGGAGGATGGCCCAGGTCCTTGGGCCCTGCACCCCATGGGAGACCAGGAGAAGCTCCTGGCTTCGGATCAGCGCAGTGTGCTGGCTGCAGTGGCCATTGGGGGGTGAAATGGAAAAGGAAGAAATAGGTGCATTGTACCCTTTCTCTCTATTACCCTGTGCTTCCGAAGACATGTGTGGCAAGTTAACTGGGGAGTGATTCCAGTACCCAGGAGCCGGGAGTCGGTCTGTATCCGAAGGGAACTCAATCCCTGGCAGCTTTTTCTTGTTCTTTAAATTGAGTTCCTCTGTCCTTTCTGGAGAATGCGGACTTCCATCTTTGGATTTGTCTGGGTCATTGCCAGGAGCTTTGTCATGGCCAAAGGGAGCTAAGGGCGCACCAGGAACTCTCCCGCTGCTCCTAATTCAGCCTACTGGTTGATATTTACTTAGCTGTCCCGTGACGGGTCGGAAGCAGAGTCCCTGGTAACACGAAAATAACAGCGAGTCAAAAAATGATGTTTGATGTGCACAGCAGGAGCGTTTTTGCTCCCCAGTCTCTCTGTGCTCCAACACTTGCGAGGTTCCCTCCCGTGTCTCCCGCAGAGCCGACAGCACAGCACAGCTCCCACTCTGGGGAGAGGGGTGGGGAGACTCGCTGCAGCGGGGTGAGCAGCGGGCTCCAGGAGATTCCAAATGCTTCCACCCTGGGTGGTGTGAAGACAAGACTGAATTTCAGGGCAGGGCTGGCTGTGCTGGCTGAGCTAAGGGTAAGATTTCAGCCTCTCTGGGCGTGAGTTTTCCACCTGTAAAATGGAGGTCAGACCTGCCTTAAAGGTGGTTGTGATGAGTAAGTGAAAATAGGCATGCCAAGTGCTTTGGGTAGGGCCTGGCCTTGCTCTTCCTCCTCCGCCCACACCCTCCACTGGGCCTAGAACCGTGCCAGTTTCTTCCTGGAAAAAGGCTTTGTATTGGTTAAGTTGGTCCAGTGGCCCAGCCAGAAGACGAAGAGTTACAGTCTCCACAGTCAGTCGAACTGTTATTATGAAATTACTGTGACCCTGCTAGTTTCTGGAGTTGTCATTTTGCCCTGTTAATGAGTTACTGGTTTCTCCTACCCTTTCTCGTGCAGATGTTGTTCCTAATCTCAGGCACTAGATGGCGCCGTTTTATTACGTATCAGTGACTTTCATACATTAAAACCTCTGTCTGACACTTAAAAAAAAAAAAGAATTCTTATCACATGCATCAGCATAGCCGCATATGTATTCTAGCACATCAAGGAAGTGCCTTTATATTTTTGTGTCTCTTTCATTTATAGTATAGAGAGTGTAAAGCTTAGAAATCACCCAAAAGTTCACACATTTGATTTAGTTCTAGGGCTGAGCAGAGCAAGAAAACCGTGGAGTGGATTGAAAGGAAAGTCACAGATTTGACTGAAATTGGAAAATAAAGTGTATATGGGAAGGTCAAACACACGGGGATTACTCTGAAGCCTGGATGGGGTGGACATTGAATGCAGCGGTTAAGATTCTGCTGTTGCAGACCCTGGAAAACAGCAGGTGAATGGTTTGAGGGCTTGGGTCCCTGCTGACTCGCCAGGTGGGAAACCTGAATTGAGTTCTTGGCCTCTGGGCATTTGAGGGAGTGGACCAGAGGCTGGGAGCTCTCTCTTGTCTTGTTCTCCAATAAAATACGCAAAAATAAAAGAATGACATGCAGTGTCATGGTGGGCTCTAACAGTGAATAATTCCAAGTGAAAAATGGCGAGCAGTGATTCCTCTCCCCTGCAGGAAGGAAGAGAACAAGAAGAAACAGACTTACTGACCACGGGAGCGGGAGAAAGAAGTTAGTTACAAGAACGAGTTTCTGGAATCAAGAGTGTATAACATCATGGAGGAAGCTGCCAAGTTTTTATTAATATTTGAATAAATTAGGCAAGCCCTCAGCATGTCCAGATTGAATTGTTTGCCATCTTACTAGAAAACAGAGCAATGCTCTCTGTTATGATGCTTATTTGAAGTTTGGCATGACATAGGCTGGCACAATGACCCTGCAGCTCAGGCTAGGGCTGGATATGACGACCAGGTTAGCAGTGTTTTCAAAATACCCTATTATTGTATTTTCCATAATAGTAGAGATATATAGGAGTCACTAGTTGTTACTTATTTTTTAAAAAAGATTCATTTATTTACTTGAAAGTCTGAGTTACAGAGAGGAGAGAGAGAGAGAGAGAGAGAGAGAGAGAGAGATTTCCCATCTCCAAATGGCTGCAATGGCTGCAATGGCCAGGGCTGGGCAGGTCCAAAGCCAGGAGCTCCTTCCGGGTCTCCCACTTGGGTGCAGGGGCCCAAGCACTTGAGCCATCTTCGGCTGCTTTCTCAGGCACATCAGCAGGAAGCTGGATTGGAAGTGGAGCAGCCAAAACTTGAGCCGGTGCCCATCTGGGATGCTGGTGCTGCAGGTGGTGGATTTACCCACTATACCACAGTGCTGGCCCATTTCTTGATTTCTTGACATTTATGTGAGGGCCAAGCAATAGGGAAGAAAATGACCACAGGTGGAGATGGACTCGGAGATCGTGGCTGACAGTTATTTTCTGAACCTCTCATTTTTTACTTACCAAACATTCCTCAGACAGTGGCTTGGTTCCGTTTGCCCTTCCTTAATTATACCTGTAACATCTGGTAGATGAATAGTGAGGTAGGTAGCTCAGACCGGTCCATAGTCCCGATTGCACAGCAAGTCCACAGGAGGGCGCCAAACATGACGTTCTCCCCAGTATTCCCTAAGAGTGCTCTGAGAGTCCAGCTTGGATCTACCTCCTTTCTTCCTCGCCTGCCCCCAAGCACCCTCAGTCCCTCCCCCCAGGGGCCCAGCTTCATCCTGGAGAGATTGCCCATGACTTCTCTGGTTCTTCACATTCCTCTGAGCGAGTAGCCTGTGACAACACAAGTCGCTCCTCAGTGCCTCTCTTAGGTGCGTTACGGTAACAATATTCAACTTCTGACAGATCATCTTCCAGGAAGGTGAGAGATGAAGAAGCGAAGGTGTTGGTGATGCAGGATTGGGATGAGGTGGAGCAAATCCAGTCCGGCTGGCTGTTTCCCTTGCTGATTACAAATAGGATGTGTGCCTAGTGTAGAAAATTTAGAACTAGAAACACAGACCGGTATAAAAAAAGAAGGAAAACCTATTTACAATTCTCCCACTTACGGACAGCTGTGCTTACTGTTGAGAAATACTTTCTTTGTAGCTACAGAAATTTGGGGAAACTAAGGCACCTGAAAGCTTGTTGAGGGTCTACAAGGCGGATTCAAGAGCAGAAATCAGTCACATGCGTGTGGGTCCGCGGGGAGAGAAATCTATTCTCAGAGACAAGAGTAAAGCAGGAATTTATTTAGAAAGAGAAGTGAAAGACGCTTGAGTGCGGAGCACTACAGAGACAGCAGGAGCAGCCCCCTGGGCTTCCTCTGCTTCTCCTGCCCCCAGGATTGGCCTCCAAGCCACCATGAGCAGCCCTTCAACAGCCAACAGAATGTGATTCTTGTAACTTAAACTCAAAGGCCAGGGCTGGTGCTGTGGCACAGCGGGTTAACGCCCTGGCCTGAGGCGCTGGCATCCCATATGGGTGCTGGTTCGAGACCTGGATGCTTCTTTTCAGATCTGGCCTTCTGCTATGGCCTGGGAAAGCAGTAGAATATGTCCCAAGTCCTTGGGACCTTGCACCCTTGTGGGAGACCCAGAAGAAGCTCCTGGCTCCTGGCTTTGGATAGATGCAGCTCCAACCATTGTGGCCATCTGGGGAGTGAACCAGTGGATGGAAGACCTCTCTCTGTCTCACTTGCTCCATGGAGTTCCCCTGCAGTCTCCCACTGAAGCTGTTCTCCGCAGGACTTGGTGTGACATTGAGCTTGTCTTTGACAGTGTCTGAGATGGCCCCCAGTGATCCCTGCTTCGTGATATTCACGCCCGTGTCCAATCCCCTCTATTCGAGTGTGGGAGAGATGCAGTGACTTGCTTTTGACCAACAGAATATGACGTAGGGTTTAATTTTTCACTTTTTCTTGCTGGCAGCCTTTCCGTTACCCTCTCGGCTTGTCGCTTTGGTGAGGCAGTTGCCTGCCTGGGAATTGAGAGAGGCGTCTTGTTAGCAGTGAACAAGGAGCGGAGGCCCTCAGTCTCATGATGAGTGGAACCCAATGCTGCCAACAGCCACTGGGTGAGATCCCTCCATGGGGAGCTCGCTGGTAAGACTGGAGACCTTGCCCCGACACCTTCATTGCAGCCTTGGGATGCGCCAGGATGCAGAGCACGCAGCCAAGCTGTGCCCGAGTTCCTGATCTGCAGAAATTGTGAGCTAATGAGTCTGTGTTGTTTTTCAATGTCAAGTTTTTTTTTTAAGATTTATTTATTTATTTGAAAGTCAGAGTTACACAGAGAGAAGGAGAGACAGAGAGAAAGGTCTTCCATCTGATGGTTCACTCCCCAATTGGCCCCAATGGCCAGAGCTACACTGATCCGAAGCCAGGAGCCAGGAGCTTCTTCCAGGTCTCCCATGTGGGTGCAGGAACCCAAGGACTTGGACCATCTTCTACTGCTTTCCCAGGCCACAGCAGAGAGCTGGATCGGAAGTGGAGCAGCTGGGACTAGAACCGGCGCCCATATGGGATGCCGGCACTACAGGTGGTGGCTTTACCTGCTATGCCACAGCACCGGCCCCAAATGTCAAGTTTTAAGTGCAGTTCGTTGTGGAGGCCAGTCCTGTCACCTGTATTGCTTCCCTCAATCTCTTACAAGTTTTTCCTTGGGGCCCTTCCTTAATAAATCACTTACCTGAGAAACTTCACTAAGACAGGTGGTCCTAAGGCAGATTGTGCCATCACCAGAGGGGAACAGGAGCGTCACCGCGGTAAGTGGGTTGTCACGGGCCTATTCCAGCCTTCCAAGTACTGAAGACTTGGCTTCATGATAAATTGGGTCGGGGGTATAGGTGGAAGGGGGTTTCTGGTTCGTGTGTTCTCTGTATGTTTAGGAGATTTCAGGGAACTGGTAATTAATAGTGGAAATAGTTGGTTGATTTTGGGCGCTTAGTGATGTGTTGAAGAGAGAAGATGACAGGCTCATTAGGAAGTGGAAGTGTGGTGTGAAAATCTGATGGTGGCAGCCGGAAGGCAGAGTGTGCCTGAGATAAGATCTGAGTGCGAGAGGCGCAGAACCTTAGAGGGGACTGCATTGTCCGCTTCTCTCCTGCTGGAGTGGGCACCCCGATAGGGAAGCTGGGACACCCCAGCCTTCAGATGGGGCCAGCTGGGCAACCGGAGAACACTGGGTTCCCAGCTCACCCTGAACCCCCTGGGCCTTGTCCTCTCGCTAGGGACAGCAGCCTTTCACCTGTGTCTGAAGACTATGCAGAGACTGCGATTGAAGGAGATCCTTTACCCGTTGTCCTTAGGATTTGTTCTCATCTGCCTTCCCAACCATTAGACTAATAACTTGGGTCAAATATTACCACGTCCCAGAGAAGCTGAGCTGCAGGAACCGGCTAATGCAATCTGCCACATTAGCTTGGGAATGGCTCAGGAGAATGGTGGGCTGGGAGGGTGCGCTACCATCAATGTACTCTCCTGGGAGTCAGGATCCAACGGCAGGCAAAGGCTCCTGGAGATAGCCTCAGTGGGCTGCTGCGTGGCTCCTAGAACCCTGGGAAAGCTGATGGCCCACGGTAAAGGAGATGAAGGGCCAGAACGGCCTTGCTTGGTTTAGGGTCAAACAGAAGAGCAGGAGTCTCACAACAGCGTCTGTGACGGTTAGCAATGCACTGGTTCTCAGCTCTAACTCCGCCCTGCCCCACTGTGGGGAGCAACTCAGACTAGACTGTTACTGGAATTAAGACTTATTCTATGCATCTGCTCTCCCACAGTATGGCGCTGGGAGAGGAGGAAACAGCTTCTACACAGCTGCCTCTAGTTCAACCAATAAACTGTAGGACCTGCTCCTGATTGGAGGAGAGCAGCGTACTCGGCGTGTGGGTAGCAGAGTTGGGATTGGCGGAAGAGGAATATAAAGGAGGAGAGAGACAACATGCACCAGGAACATCTAAGAGGAACATCTAAGAGGAACATTTGAGTAGCCCCCGAGAGAGCCGGCCGGCGGTGTGCCGCTCCCCCGCGGAAGTGGGGAAAGTGGCAGGGGGAACCGCCCTTCCACGGAAGTGGAAGGGTCGGTAGCCAACCCGGGAAGAACCAGCAGCAAACCCGGGGAGGGCCGAGCAGACGAAAGAACAGCGCAGGGTCCTGTGTCGTTCCTCCACGAAGAGGGGGAGCGACATAATGGTGCCGTGACTCGGATAGGAAACCTAGGCAGGGTCTAGTGTTGTTCCTCCGCGAAGAGGGGGAGCGACACCCCACCCCCATTTTTTCCTTTTCTTTTTTCTTTTTTTTTTTTTTTGACAGGCAGAGTGGACAGTGAGAGAGACAGAGAGAAAGGTCTTCCTTTTGCCGTTGGTTCACCCTCCAATGGCTGCCGCGGCCGGCGCGCTGCGGCCGGCGCACCGCGCTGATCCGATGGCAGGAGCCAGGAGCCAGGTGCTTTTCCTGGTCTCCCATGGGGTGCAGGGCCCAGGCACCTGGGCCATCCTCCACTGCACTCCCTGGCCACAGCAGAGAGCTGGCCTGGAAGAGGGGCAACCGGGACAGAATCCGGCGCCCCAACCGGGACTAGAACCCGGTGTGCCAGCGCCGCTAGGCAGAGGATTAGCCTAGTGAGCTGCGGCGCCAGCCCATTTTTTCCTTTTCTGCTTTGTGATTTTGGAACAAGACTGGGCTATTGTTTCTCTTCTGCCATCTAGCACAATATTGGCCTTGATCTTCAGAGGGGCTGGGGAGGTGTGGGGAAGGAAGGAGCTTCTCCTCCTGGGTTGGATGCAATTGTGCCGTTCCCTTCCCCCCACGTTGGGGTGCTG